GCAACGGGTTTGGTGTTTTATTTTTTGTTTTATTGTCTCTATATTGAAGTTACCAAGTTAAGAATATTTCCCTGCTTACCTTGATTATGTGTTTAAAATCAAAATATGTTTCAAGAGCATACGATTGAACTTCTTTTTATCTATGAGAATTAATTTTGGAAGGGAAGAAAGGCTTGACTACAGTGATGGCAATATGATGGGAAACTCCTCAGATAAATGCATATCTTTGCTTCTGCATCTTTGTCTCTTTGAGAGGCCCAGTCTTAAGTGTGCGTCTCCTTTCAGATGAGAGGAAGGCTCAATTCCAGATTGGTAAGTGACTCAGAAGTTCTTTCAGGCAATGAAATTCCACAAATAATAAGAGGCTCGATGTTTCTCTAAGCCTCATTCCCAAAAATGTTCAGGCAGAGTATACCATTGGCTATGTTCACTGTGAAGGACCATCAGTGGAAGAGAATATAGAAAAGATGTTGAACACTTTCTTTTACCTTATTTGGAATATCCTTTCATTGAGATCAAAAGAAAAAAATGAAATTATTTTAATAATTATTTCTTTAGCTTTCTCTTCATTGTCTCTTTTATTTGTTGATACTGTGGGTCTCACTCTTTCTCAATTCTTTATTCCATTACTCTGTTCTTCCTTCCTTTTTTGTTTTTCAGTCCTTTCATCCCCCATTCCTTTTTTCCTCCCTTTCACTTTTCCTTCCTTCCTTTATTGTTTTTTCTTCCCTCCTTCCTTCTTCTTTGCCTCCTTCCATCTTCCCACCTTCATTTCTTAAACTATCCATCTTTTCTGCGACCACTCCTTTCTTCTCTTTCTTTTTCTCCTCTTCCTTCTCTTGTTTGTCTTTTCTTCTGACTTATATTTCTCCACACATATACACAAACCCAAAGACTTTCAAGTTTAGGGAGACAATGGTCACACAGAGAGTTAAATATGCAACTGAATAGTGATAGAATATTAGTGCTGAGAAGAGAAGCTATAAAGAGTACCAGGAGAGGTGAATGATATTTCATCATTTGGTCCAATTGCAGGCTGGCAGAAAACATCATCGTACCCTGGTAAGTGACATTTTTCTGACCATTATTAACCTCCTCAGTTATACGATATGTAACTGAGACCCTAAATCCTGTAAACATCATTCTAAATAATGCATGAAAGAGAAGACGATATGCTATATATCATTTTTGTTCCCTAGAAACCTTAGTAAGAATCATAATTTAAAAATATTTTTCTTTTCATCTTTTTGTCACCTATGCCTCACAACACACTTAGAAGTTAATTAAAGCACATATTAACAAATTAAGAGAGAGTTTCTTTGCTCAGACAGTTGAATTTACCTTTTCTTTTTTCACTAATCCACGGCAAGTGCATTGAGGTCATGTAATTTTTCTGTCTGTCTAAGGAAGGGATAACTTCGTCTTGGGGAGCACCAGTACACTGTACCACAGAGAGCATAAGTTAGAGGAATTAATTCTTAGGGAAATGTTTAATAAGCAAATCAGTGGAAAATTAGGTCAGGCAAAAGGTACAAAAGAAATTTGGGACATCAGCAAAGGAAGCATTAGAAAGAATAAGTTACATCTTCTGCCAGGAAATTCAAATAAAAGGTCTCATGATGCACATTTATTTTTTTTTCCAGACTGGAGGAAAGAACTTTTCCAGGCTGGTGAGTTATTCCTTGATGGTGTAGAAGGGACTCTGCTTGTTATAGTCAAGCTCAACCTCAGGGGAAGTTGTTGGAGAAGGGCGGTGACAGACTCCACATGTGAACATATACATCTCCCACAGACCCAAATATAGCTCTCTAATATAGATATCTCTGTTTCCAGAGTCATTCTAAGCTTTTTAGAAATTAAACGAGTAATTATCTTTGCAGCAAATGTGAGTCTGGACCCAGACACAGCCCATCCTAACCTCAGCTTGTCTGAAGAGAGAAGATGTGTAACCTGGAGTGAGAAGCCTCAAGATCTACCTGATAAGCCACAGAGATTTAATTCACTTCCCTGTGTGCTGGGTCAGCAAGTCGGCACCTCAGGGAGGTGCTACTGGGAGGTGGAGGTTGGGAACAGTGGAGCCTGGGACCTAGGCATTTGTAGGGATAGTGTAATGAGGAAGGGGAGGGTTGTCTTAAAACCTGAGGATGGTTTCTGGGCCATCAGGTTTTATAAGAATGAGTACTGGGCACTGACCTCTCCAGAAACACAGCTTATTCTAAAAACTCCCCCTGCCAGAGTATGTATTTTCCTAGAATGTGAGGATAGATGTATCTCATTTTATAATATGACAGATAAATCCCACATTCATACCTTTAATCAGTGTCGCTTCTATGGGTCCTTAAGGCCTTTCTTCAGACTTTGGTCTGGTGATTCAGGTCACCTGACCATCTTGTCCAGTGACTGAAACAGCACAACCTGATGATAACGCTCACCGTGCCCAGTCCTGTCCTGGGAACATCATATACCCTGCCAGTCATGGAGGATAGATGCATCTAGTTGTGGGGTGAATTCTCCCATACCAGGAGCAAATTATTTTTCTCATTTTTTCCATGGCTTTTCCTACCTTTTTATCTCCCTCATAAATTGGCTCACAAAAGCTAGGTGCAGTGTTCGAAAGTGTGTGTTGCTTGCGGTATGTTTGTTTAATGTAAATATATATTTACATTAAATATGATATAGTATGTACTACAGTATAGTATATTTATTGTAGTAAATACATGTATCATATATATGCACTCACGTAATATAATCATATTATCATTGTAAATATACACAAAGAACTAGTGTCTGTGATTGTCTATATGGTGTAGAAAGTTCTTGAATATTGGACAAGGGTAGGAATTATGGGAGATTAACTTTTCATTTTGTATTCTCTTGTGCCTTTGGTTTTTATGCTGTGTTTATAAAGTGAGTATTCAGGAAAAAAATGTTTTAAATAAACACACAGTTGAAGTGTTCTCAATTGTCTACCCCACTGTGACATTCAGAGAAAGGTGAATCTTTACAAGCTTGCTCATCAGCTCTCTGTGCGTGAACTTAATCTACATTACAGACACATTTTTTACCATCTCCATTCTCTCCTGAGGTATTCAATCATTCCTGTCTTTTCTTACATTCACTTACGTTCTGAAAGTTTTTTTTTTAAATCTACATGCAGTAAAATTGATTTCTAACACATGTATAGATTCATGTCAACACTAGTACATTCAGGGTACATAACAGTTCCATTATCCAAATAAAATCCCTCCTAATCAAACCCGTTGGCTTCAACTCCATTCCGACTCATAGCGACTCTATAGGACAGAGTAAAACTGCCCATAGGGTTTTCAAGGAGCAGCCGGTGGAGTCTAACTGCTAACCTTTTTGGTTAACAGTCTTAGCACTTAACCACTGTGCCACCAGGGCTCCCTCCTGCTATCCCTTTATAGTCCAAACCAAAAACCAAACCCGTTGCCATTGAGTTGACTGTGACTTCACTCCATAGGATTTTCAAAGCTGTGACCTTTCAGAATCAGATTGCCAGGCCTTTCTTCCAAAGAGTTGCTGGGTGGGTTTGAACCACCAACCTTTCGATTACTGATTGAGCACTTAACTGTTTCTGCCACCCAGGGACTCCCTTTGTAGTCCAACCTTCTCCAAACCCCTAGCCTGACAATAATTGATCAGTTTTCTGTCTCTATAGTTTTGTTATTTTCCAGAGTGTCGTATACATGGAATTGCACAATTTGTAACCTTTTGATACTGGCTTCTTTCACTCAGCATAAGGCTTTTGATATTCATCCATATTAATATGGGTATTAATAATTTGCTGTCACTTTTTTCTGAGTATTATTCCATTGAATAGGTGTACTAAAGTTTGGTTATCCATTCACCTGCTGAAGAATATTTACGTTTTTTCCAGATTTGGGAAATCATGAATAAAGCTTCTATAAGACATTCATGTAAACATTTTTGTGTGAACAGCAGTTTTGAGTTCTCTATAGTGAATACCTAGGAATCAGATTACTGGATTATGTGGTAAGAGTAGGTTCAACTTTATTAAAAAACTGCCAAATTTTTCCGGAGTGGCTGTACCATTGTGCAGTCCCACTAATAATACTCCATATCCTCACCAAGAATAATTGCTCCTCACCCTCATCAAAATTTTTTATTTAAATTTCTCTACTGTGTTTCAATTTTAATTTCTCTAGTGGTCAATGATAATGAGCCTTATTTGCCATCCATATATTTTCTGGTCTGTTCAAGTGTCTGTTAAAATCCTTTGTCTATTTTTATTGGGTTGTTTGTTTTCTTATTGTTGGATTGTAAGATCTCTTTATATATTCTAGATACAAGTTCTTTCTCATACGTATAATGTGCAAGTGCATTTATT